ACCAGATATTTGATTCTAGTCTTGCGGGTAAGAATTGGCTTGAGTCAAGTTCGATGACTAATCAAGCCAAGCATGAAAAGCAGGTTATATATAGTAAACTTTCAAACTCAACTCATCTTGAACTTGATTCAATTGATAGTATAAAACTTGAAATTTATCTATAGAATTTTCAATCTACTAGTACAAAGCTCATGCTCAATTTGACAAAAGCTTATTTGAGTTTGACACAATAAATTTCAAGTCAAACTTGAATAAAATTTCAAACTTATGAAAATAAACAAACACGTTTAAACATTAGAGTATTGAAGTTTGTTAACACCTCTAATCCAACTAATTTAATCTTAACCCACTTTTGGGATTTGTCCACACAATAATGGTGTCTATAAAATCCCCACATTTAAAACACATATACGCTCCACACGCTGGCGTCTAATTTCCTGTTGTCCATCACCAATTTGGACAATTGATTGATCATAGAGGTCGGTCGATATGAAGAGACACTCCCACTTCTACCCTCTTGCAGCACTTGTTTTGCTGCACCATCTAATGATGACCGGCTGCACAGCCATGAAGAGATTAAGTTTAGGCACTGATCAATCTGCTCTTTTAGCCCTGAAAGCCCATATCACTTCAGGACAGCAAGAATTCTTGTCAAAAAACTGGTCTTCTGCAGCTGCTGCATCCTCTGTCTGTGACTGGATAGGAGTCCAGTGCGGCTCTCGACACCAAAGAGTCAATGCTTTAAATATATATATATATATATATATATATATATATATATATATATATATATATATATATTTCCAAAACAATGACTATATATATAGAGGTTTCAAGTTGGTTAAGAATTTCACTATGAAAAACCCGATCCAATAAAAGAAATAAGATATGCGAGTTTTTCCTTATTTTCTCAAACAAATTTTGGGTATTTTTCTCTGAACATTTTTCTCAAAAAACTTACCAAACAATTTGTGTGTGTTGATTACTACAATTAGTGTGTCAATTAGTAAAACTTGGTGAGTATTTATAGACAAATAAGTTGTCCCTATCATTTTAGAAACCTAAAACTAGTTTCTAATACGATTTAACTTCCTTATTAGATTTAGCTTTTTTATTTTAATACAACTCTTGTATTTGGAAGATTTAAACTTATTTGTACCATAAGTCCCGCAAGTTTAATTTATCTCACATTTTAAATATCCAAAATTTAAAACTTATCCTTTAAGTCCCTACTTGAATTTAATTTAATAGCCATAGCTTGGTTAATATGTAGTTGTGGTTCAGCCTTTGAATGATCAATCTAATAGCTAGATGGATGGAGAAGATCTGGTTGAAAAGGCATTAGCCTGGTGACTAAGTTTAAAATTTTTTGAAATTAGATGTCTTGGATTTAAATTCCTCTTTTATCTCTCCACTTCTTAAATCTCGCCATTTCTCTATTAAAAGGCTGTTGCAATGCAAAAACACTAGAATTCGATAATCAATGAACAACACTCAGTTAGCAAAAAGCACATTATTCAAATTAGGTTCAGAACTAGAATACGAATTTTTCACTCTTTAAGGGTACATAGGTCCGTCACGCAGAAACCTCGTATGGTTGGGAGATTTTGATTGAAGTAGTAAAGTTACTCCAAAAAATCTCTGGAATGTAACCCTATGCAGTTTTTCCTAATCTTTTATTGGTAAGTACTTGAAAAACTAAACTTCCGAGCCACGAAAAATAATCCATTGCTTTAGGTCTAATGACACCTCAACTGAAAATTATTCATTCATAAGTTGCCTGGTAACTGGATCATGTCGGCATGCGGAATGAAAAATCAAGCACGGTGTTTATACGTTGGATTTTGGAGAAATTGCTAATTAGGAGCAAATATGAATTTGAAGATACCAAACTAAGAGATTAATCTAGTCTAAAAAAAAAAAAGGTAAAAGTTTCTGGATCTCTAAATTATGATCCTCTAATGGTGTTTTCCACCTCATGATTATCGAAGTTAATATGAAATACAGAAAAGAGTAAACTAGCAATTTTTGAAGTTAATTTAATTTGGTCCACTAAGTCAACCGATACGGCATACACAGAAGCTCCGGGAGCAGCATGACCAGTGACAACTGTCCACAAAATGTAGGGTCTCCAGTCCCTTGACTTTGCTCGGAGACTAGTGAACTTTGAAACTCATTCCTTAAGTACTGAACCCACTAACCAAATATCATTTAGTTTTTCTTTAAATTTTACAAGATGCCATTTAGCATTTTAAAAAAAAAAGTAAAGGAAAACATGCAGATTAAAAGCTAGCCATCAATGAAATCACAGTAGGTTGTTGAAAACTGGTCCACACCACTCAATGAATTAGGTGAGTAAAGGTTAGTTTAGCACTTCACTAAATAATCCCTCAATTGCTGCTGGTTGAGCATATATATATATATATATATATATATATATCAGCAGCGATTTCCTGAGGACAATTCCGAGTGCTTATTGGTTGAGCCTTTGAGGGAGCACTGTCATCACTTACTACTCAATCAAAGAATTTACTCACAGCATAATAAATCGTATTTGGAATCATTACTACTAATCAATATATAATAGTTTGGAATCATTGCTAATCAATCATATTGGTTGCGTTATAGTACGTATTAGCGTTTGTAATCTACAATAGAACTAAACGTAGAAAGCACATGTAGTATTTGTTGTTATTTTTTGTTTCTCTTGGTTATCAATTATAAAATTGGTTGGGGATTAATTTTGGAAGATTTGATTTAACGTGGTCGGCAGGCATAGTTTGAATATATTCTATATACGGATAGAGATAATGTTGTAAATAATGCGCATGCTCTTTTTATTGCCAATGTGCATGTATTTGGGTTTGTTTACGTATATTTTTCCGACTCCAAGGAACAATTTTTATGTAAAATACTACATAAAATTTTGGAGGCGTATGGCCAACCGTGGAGTTGGAAACACAAAAAAAAAAAAAAAATTTAATAGTGCTATAATATAAATCAATCTCTCAATTTAATTCTGACTTTTATTTCTAAATTTTAGACATATACACCCACCCCTAAAAAGTGAATATTGTTGCAAAACTTAAAATCTCAAGTGTGCGTTATAATATAAATCAACCTCTCAATTTAATTATGACTTTTATTTCTAAAATTTAGACTTATATACCCACCCCTAAAAAGAGAATATTGTTGCAAAACTTAAAATCTCAAGCGTTCACACTTGTGTGAACGTGAGTATGACAAGGATATAAACATATTACAATCTGTCTAATGGATACCCGTTAAGATATATTTCAGGTGTTAGATTTTTAGAAATATAAAATTAATTAAAGAAATCATATAAATGCAAGGAAATTAATTAGAAAAAGTGTGCGAATGCAAGGGAAAGTAGTAATTATTAGTGTTAGTGTGTGTATACACGATAGGTTGAGTGGAATGTAGGTGTATTAAAGAGTGTTTACAGGACACTGGTTTAAAAAAAAAATCCAACATATATATTATTAGGATGTAACAAAAATTGTCCCGCTGACCATGAAAATCTTTGGCTCCACCACTGCAGGCAGGAATGGATACCCTTCAAAAGCGTTGCTTATGAATATAGGTGTCAAACCAACACATTTAACTAAATTTACTTATACCCTTTCATGAATAGATGGGTATGGATATCTTAAATTTTTGCATATGGGTATAAATGGGTTATCCAATAATACCCATTTATTAACTGGGTATTATTAGGTAATCCATCAAACCCAATTGACCCATTTAAAATTATTTTTCCCCAAATCTCTTCTCTTTCCCCACCCTTTTTTTTTCCAAAATTTTCATTTTGTTAACTACTTTTGTTATTATTATTATTATTATTTGTTGGTTTTATCTTATCATTTTATTTTCTCTTAGTTTGTTAACTTGCTCATTTTTCAGTATTACCAATTTATGATAAGTTTTAGCCTCTTTTCCTACCTTTTCAAAATGAAATTTTAAATTTACACATGAAAAAAATGTTAAGGGTTCAAAATTTTTGGATTAAATTTTTATGTTAACTTTTATAGTACTTAGTTCAAATTTTTATAGTCTTATTATTCAACTATTAAATACTATGTAATTTTATGACATAGAGTATAGATGGGGAAAAAATTGGTAATTAGGCTTATTGAACATTATAAGTAAATATTTAAAACTAATGATGGGTGCAAAGGATGGTATAAATTGATAACTTAGTTTGCAAAAATAAATTTAAATGAGTTTACAAAAAGTTAAAATAATACCCATTTATATCCATTTAATTAGATATGTATAAATGGATTGACTCACTTATACCCATTATCCATTACCCATTCTACTCAATCCAAATCCGTCCAAGTCACCCATTTTGACACCTCTATTTATGAGTATGTGCCACGATCAACTACTTCACTGAAGCAGCGAATTAAGCTCCACTTGACATTATTATTGTCTAACTGGAAAGTCCCGTCCCATGCATGAAGTCCCGTTGTTGGGGATGTTGAGAGGAAAAGAAAAGTCTGGTTCTTCTTTATTACAGAAGCCAACTACTAAATGTTATGGTCCAATATCGAATGGTTAACAAAATTTCCAACGTCCTTTACACGGTAGTTGACATGTCACATGTTGGAATTTATCAGCCAAGAATTATTAACAGCAACCTGCAGAATATATCCACATCAAAGGCTAGCTAGAAAATAGATGATTAGTACGTTCATAATTTCTTTGAGTTAGACTAGTAGTACCCTATTGTGTACAAATATATATATACATACATACATACATACATACATACCGATCTTGTAGATCTATGGGTCCAAATTTTGTCACATCTTTAAATACTTGAGTTAGTAAAATGGTGTGTTAAATTTTGAACCACCAAACCTATATACACTCGATCTACCTAAGTGTTTGCTCTAGACTACAGTCGTATTCATTCCCAAAGTCACCCCAACTAGAGAAGTCAACTTGGGGGAAGGGAAATTTATTTTTAAAAAGAAAAAGAGAGAGAGAGTCGGAAAAAGTGAAAAATTGATCAAAATTCAGCGGAAAAGGTTTTTTAAGGCAAAGTTTGGATAGCTGAGAGAGGTAAATGCTAAAATGTATTACATGCGGTCACATAATTCCAAAACAATGACTATATATAGAGGTTGCAACAGAATGGAGGAATGAGAGAATATCGCCGATTAGGACTATTGATTGATCATATAGGTCGGTCGATATGAAGAAACACTACTTTTACTTGTTCCCTCTTGCAGTACCTGTTTTGCTGCACTATCTAATGATGACCAGTTGCACAGCCATGAAAAGATTAAGTTTAGGCACTGATCAATCTGCTCTTTTAGCCCTGAAAGCCCATATCACTTCAGGACAGCAAGAATTCTTGTCAGAAAACTGGTCTTCTACAGCTGCTGCATCCTCTGTCTGTGACTGGATAGGAGTCCAGTGCAGCTCTCGACACCAAAGAGTGACTGCTTTAAATATTTCAAACATGGGACTCACCGGCACAATACCTCCGGATTTGGGAAACCTCTCCTTTCTTGTTTCTCTTGATCTGAGAAATAACTACTTCCACGGAAATCTGCCCGAAGAGTTGTCACACCTGCGCCGCCCGAGGTTCGTCAGGTTAACCACTAACAACTTCACTGGAGAGATTCCAATGTGGTTTGGTCACTTCCCAGAACTCCAGTTCTTGTTTCTGGACGGCAATGGTTTTAGTGGTTTTATTCCTTCTTCTATATCCAACTTGTCAAGAGTGGAAAAGTTAGATCTAAGCTACAATTTCCTGGAAGGAAATATTCCAGAAAAGATAGGAAATCTTTCGGTCCTCAGAGAGCTGTATCTATCTGGGGATGACTTAGTTGGTCAGATACCATTGAGTTTATGCAAGTTTTCTCAACGTCAGGTGCTAGACTTGTCTAACAACAGGTTAAGCGGGCAAATACCTAAAGAAATTGGAAATCTGGAGAAGCTCAAGGAGTTATACCTCATCACCAATAACTTAACAGGTAATAATTTTGCTTTGCCTTTGTATACTCACATGGTCAAACAGCGGTTAATAGTTTTTTTTTCCCTGTTTGACACAAGGATTAGAAAAGCGTGTTCAAGTGAAATCAAAAGATATATGCATACTATTTATACTATTCAGATGAAATCAAATAAAGATATGCATGGGTTTTAACAAAACTATTCATACACATGATCAATGAGAAATAAAAAAAAATTCATTTTGTGAAATGTTAACAATTGAAAATTTTTCTTACCAAAAAAAAAGGATCGAAAAATTCATTTTGTAAAATGTGAGAACTATGGAATGAATTATGTAAATTTTGATTTGACATTTTGTCCTTAAAAAATGCTCACGTACAAGATACATAATGGATTCCAGCCAAAAACTAGTTGAAAACTTAGATAGAAACCAAATTTGACCAATATGAATTTGTAAGGGACGTAAAATTATACTTCTAAAAGTAAGGGACGAAAACAATCATTTTGCAAAATGTGAGAAACATTTTCAACCATTTTCTCTTTTCAAAACATGGTCAAATGTCATCAATTAGACAAATTACAAATGCACATTTGTTTTAGGCATGATTTAACATACCTCCCCCAACGTTCATGACAATTATAGGCGGTGCCCTCTAAGTTTGAAAAATTACACCTACATCTCCTCTTGGTGTAAAATAACAAAAATAACCTTTACGAACTACAAAATGCAACGGCTCCATGGAGGGAATAATGCATTTGAAGTTAAAATAAATGGGTTATAAATGGGTAATTGGATTACTCATTTATATCCATTTAATTAGATAGGTATACATGGGTTGACTCACTTATGCTCATTACCCATTCTACTCAATCCAAATCCGTCCAAGTCACCCATTTTAACACCTCTATTTATGAGTATGTGCCACGATCAACTACTTCACTGAAGCAGCGAATTAAGCTCCACTTGACATTATTATTGTCTAACTGGAAAGTCCCGTCCCATGCATGAAGTCCCGTTGTTGGCGATGTTGAGAGGAAAAGAAAAGTCTGGTTCTTCTATTATTACAGAAGCCTACTACTAAATGTTATGGCTGATGGTCCAATATCGAATGGTTAACAAAATTTCCAACGTCCTTTACACGGTAGTTGACATGTCACATGTTGGAATTTATTAACCTGCAGAATATATCCACATCCAAGGCTAGCTAGAAAATAGATGATTAGTATGTTCAGAATTTCTTTGAGTTAGACTAGTAGTACCCTATTGTGTACAAATATATATATATACATACATACATACATACCGATCTTGTAGATCTATCGGTCCAAATTTTGCCACATCTTCAAATACTTGAGTTGGTAAAATGATGTGATAAATTTTGAACCACCAAACCTATATACACTCTATCTACCCAAGTGTTTGCCCTGGACTAGAGTCGTATTCATTCCCAAAGTCACCCCAACTAGAGAAGTCAACTTGGGGGAAGGGAAATTTATTTTTAAAAAGAAAAAAAGAGAGAGAGACGGAAAAAGTGCAAAATTGATCAAAATTCAGCGGAAAAGGTTTTTTAAGGTAAAGCTTGGATAGCGGAGAGAGGTAAATGCTAAAATGTATTACATGTGGTCATTGGAACTAAGGGTGCAAACGAGTCGAGTCGAGTCGAGATTTGGCCTTATCGAACCGAGCCTCCAGTTAATTAATTTTGTGAAGAGTTCGAGCTCGACGAGCTCAAAATGTCAAGTTCGAGCTCGAACTTAAAAAATAAAAAAAAAATAATAATAAATTTATTTTTAAAAAATAAAAAATAATTATTTATTTTTAAAAATGAATAAAATAATAATTTTTTAATAAATAATAAAATATAAGGGATATATGTATAATTTTACTATTAAAATAAAAAATAAAATATATATATAATTGAGCTCGCGAGCCAACGAGCTTAATGTTTTTGAGCTCGAGTTCGACTTAATTAGCTCGAGCTCGTACTCAAGCCGCTCGCGATCGGCTCGATTCACGAGCACCCCTAATTGGAATGTGTAAAGATGAAAGATCTACAGGACACTGCACACACATATTTCCAAAACAATGACTATAGAAATATATATAGAGGTTGCTACAGAATGGACTAATGAGAATATATCGCCGATTAGGACTATTGATTGATCATTTAGGTCTGTCGATATGAAGAAACACTACTTTTACTTGTTCCCTCTTGCAGTACTTGTTTTGCTGCACTATCTAATGATGACCAGTTGCACAGCCATGAAAAGATTAAGTTTAGGCACTGATCAATCTGCTCTTTTAGCCCTGAAAGCCCATATCACTTCAGAACAGCAAGAATTTTTGTCAAAAAACTGGTCTTCTACAGCTGCTGCATCCTCTGTCTGTGACTGGATAGGAGTCCAGTGCAGCTCCCGACACCAAAGAGTGACTGCTTTAAATATTTCAAACATGGGACTCACCGGAACAATACCTCCGGATTTGGGAAACCTCTCCTTTCTTGTTTCTCTTGATCTGAGAAATAACTCCTTCCACGGAAATCTGCCCGAAGAGTTGTCACACCTACGCCGCCTGAGGTTCATCCGGTTTTCCAAGAACAACTTCACTGGAGAGATTCCAATGTGGTTTGGTCACTTTCCCGAACTCCGGTTCTTGTTTCTTGACAACAATGGTTTCGGTGGCTTTATTCCTTCTTCTATATCCAACTTGTCAAGAGTGGAAAAGTTAGATCTAAGCGAAAATTTCCTGGAAGGAAATATTCCAGAAAAGATAGGAAATCTTTCAGCCCTCAAATTGCTGACTTTTATCGGAATTATTTAGCTGGTCAAATACCATTGAGCTTATGCAAGATTTCTCAACTTCAATCGCTAGACTTGTCATCCAACAGGTTTAGCGGGCACATACCTAAAGAAATTGGAAATCTGGAGAAGCTTACCTATCTATCCCTCATGACTAACAACTTCACAGGTAATGCTTTTGCTTTGCCTTTGTATACTGACAAGCTCAGACTGCGATTACTGGTTAGTTTTCCTTGTTTGGCACTGACATTCAACACTATTTACTGTTTTACCCAGCATGGCTTGGCTGGGCGCTTTTTTTTTTTTTTTTTTTTAATAGTACTATTGTAACTTTATACAAAGAATTTGAACCCTGGAAAATGGCTTGATACTTTTCCCAAAAAAAAGCCAGTAAAATGATTGGGTAAGATGTAAAATTGTATTTTGAAAAAAGTTTATTTCAAGAAACTGATCAAACAGAATGGAGGTAAAAGTCAGCTCTCTCTTTCTCAAATGACCAAAAGCTTTTACGCTAAAAGTACGCCTATCTTTTTTGAATAGTAATTGAGATGATTTGTCATAGTTCATATAACATTCCCAAAACGTTCTAAAAAATTTCATCAATTTGACAAATTATAAATGCACATTTATTTTAACTAAATCTGTGTTTGCATTCTTTTGGGAAAATCACATTCTTTTTAAACTTCTATGGTGGAGAGTTGTAATATCATAAGGATATAGGTCAAAGCTTGAAAAGCTACAGAGGTAGACTATACATATTAATCTCTCTATATATATATGAAAGTAGTTATTTTAATTAGAGTTGTTTCTCACTCTCATGTGGTATGCCTAATTGAAGAGAATTAACGCGTAGGGGTGTGCATCGAATTCGAATTCGGTAATTCGAAAGTTTGAATTCGGAATTTTTCGAAATTTTGGCTTCAATTTCACCGACCGAATTCGAATTCGAAATGGCTAATTCCGAATTCGAATTCGATACCGAATTGAATTCGAAATTCGGTGAATTCCGAATTCACCGAATTCAAATCCCCTTTACCCAAGTTAGACTTTTCATCAAGGTCACTGATGTTCTCATGTAATGTTGTGGCTTCTTGCTGATATGGTTTTACCCCATAAGGAGCATGGCCGGTTGACTTCAACTCAATTGGATAGCAGAGATTTGTGTTGTTCCATGCCCCAAAACGCCTCCCCATTTTCCCATAAAACAGCTCAGAGAATTTAAGCTCTCCTGTCAAATAATTTCCGTTCAGGTAGATAGCACTAATGTTGGGTAATGCTCCGATTCTTGGTGGGATATCCCCAGAGACTACTGCAGGAATAATGCCTTAACTTCGGTGGGCTACTGTGTTTAGATTGATAGCAGTTGCTGTAAATGCCCTGTCAAGAAGAACATGCCTTTAGCTCCGCTGCAGCGCCGGCTCACTTTTATTCGACACCTTAAACAACACTTACCCGGTCACCTCCGTTTCCCCTCAACTCCAGCGTCTCACCATTCAACCCTCCCCCTTCCTCCGTTTCCCTTTATTTCACTTCCCCTATCCAGAACCTAATTCAGAAATGCTTGGAAGCTGTTTGATGAAATGCCTAAGAAAAATAAACTAGAAACATAGATGAAAGCTAAGTAAAATTACCGGCGTACCTCAATGAAGGCTGATGATGTCTGTCTCTGTTGGGCTTGAAGGTGAAACCGAGAGAGTGAGACAGTAAGCTGAGTCGGAGGCAGAGGAAGAAAGGTGACGAAGAGGCGATGAGGAAGGAAGGAAGGCAGTGACGACTGACGAAGAGGAAGAGGGCGGCGGAAGAGTAGGGAGTAAGGTGTAAGGACTACGGTGAGTGAGTGAACAGATTAGGGTTTTTGGCTTTTTGCAATATCACTTATTATTTCAATTATTAACTTATTATATTATATAATATATATTATATATGTATTGTTAAAACTATTATAGTATATTATTATATATAAATGTTAATATTCGAATTCGATATAGAATTTCCGAATTCGAATTCCTATTTCGAATTACCAATTCGAATTCGGTAATTCCGATTTCAAAAACTATATTTTCGAATTCGACCCGATTTCGATCAATTCGAAATCGGATTACCGAATTCAACTACCGAAATTCCGAATTCGAAATTCCGAATTCAATTCGAAATCGATTCCGAAATCGAAATTTTTCGACTTTGCACACCCCTATTAACGCGTCATGGGTCATTTGGATTTTACCTATATTGAATATTATATTATATATTTAAAAACTATCCCTAATTTTAAAATAACTTTAAAAATGACTAATCTTATCTTAATGATATCTAAAATAACTTTAAAAATAACTAATTTTATGTTAATGATATATGTTTTCTATCAAATTATTACATAGAACTATAGTAAAACATTTTTCAAATCACAATTATTAAAATCTTACTTATTCCATAAATTACTTCCTTTTACCATTGATTATTATTCAAATTGTTCATCATCTCTTCCCTTAATTGTGAATTAACTTAGTGAAAAAAAAAGAATTAACTATTACATTAACAGATTTATCAATATTGTTGATATATTGATGAAAAAAAAGTGGATTGCTAGATCTTTTCTAGGTTCATGGTCATTATATAAATATGTACTTCTAGTTTGATTTAACTTATCTAAAAAGTTGATTTAATTAACTGTTAATATATACGTCTAGGTTCCTGGTCATTATAAATATTTAAATTATCTAAAAGAATATTTATTAAAAAAAAGAATATCTATTAAGTTTTTGACATGGAATACATTATTTGATGTATATTATCATATTATAGTGAAAAGTATGTAAATAAATTTTTAAAAATTAGTAGATAATTGAACATTTAGAATACATTAATTTTTTAAAGTTAATATGAATGAAAATGTAGAATCATTGTTAATTTTGTATTTAAATTATTCATATTTGTATAAATTCACAATAAATAAAAAAAAGGCCATGTTAAGGCACATGTAAATTTCTAGTTTAAAATCTAATTTCTGTGGGTAGCCTGCCGTCTCTACATCCAGCCTTTCGTGCGTCCCTTCCCTCTCCTCTTTTTTTTTTTAAATTTTTTGAAAGGGAGAATTGAAAAGCCTCAATCTTAATCACTCCACTAAAGTTTCCTTGACTTCGTCCCTCCACCAAAGTTTCTTCTTTATTCCAAAAGCTTAAATCGCCAACACAAATTTCCACTTGTTAGTTACATTTCGATGAAGTAAGACATTTTTCAATATATCTCCGAAATGAATATGATTAATTTTGTCTTTACGTAAACCTTTTAGGTGTAATTCCCCGAGAAATTGGCAAACTGCATGGTTTGAAACTTCTCGTGTTGGGGCGTAACAACTTGACAGGTAAATCAAGTCTCTGTATAGCTTCAACATTGATGGTCTATTTACAATCATGCAACTAGCAATATTTGGAGTAAGTTCTGGGTGAAATGAATTCATGTCATGTCTATTTCAATGTCCATAAACTTCAGATACTCCTACTTACTATTTGGGGTGAGCATTTGGTACAAATTCGACATTTTGGTGCATCCAATTCGATAAATTTGGTTATGTGACCTATAAAATCTTACACCTATTTCAATTTTGAATTAGAGCTAACTGAATTCATTTCAATTTTGAAATCTTACACCTATTTCAATTTTGAATTCATTTCAATTCTGAATTCAAATTCGGGACTGGAAATGAAAACGATTTAACCGAATTAAATGGGAAAAAATTGCAATTGGTATTCATTTGTTCAAATCATTTGAAAAATCGATTAATATTAATTTGTTCCCCTATACCTAATTATATCTTGAATCCAAGCTTCAATGATTTAGGGAACAGAAAAAGTGATTAATTCAAATCAAAATGCAACTTACTTGTGTAGTTACAAAGTTACAATTTACAATGAGGAATGATTAGTGATAAGTGATAACTTTGCTAATTCACTTGTGCAGTTGTGTACACTTATACTGCTATACATACACTTGTATAGTACTAATTATGTTTAATATTTAGTACTATACTTATATAGTTGTACTTATTATCTATTTGTGTATACAGCGATAAGTATCATAGTTAGTGTACTATAATAGTTATATTACAAATATTGTAATAGTATATTGTACATAATTATATATTATTATAGGTATATGATGATACTATCTACTATTTACAACTAATAGCCTTTACTTATATAAAATATTAATAGTATATAGGCTTTACCTATATAATATATTAATAGCATATAGCTAATTTGATATTCAAATGCGGTAATATGGGTTCTATTTCATTTTACTGAATTTGAATTCAAAATCGATTATTATCAAATTGAAATTCTTATTACCTATTTCATATCAAATTAAAATTAGGTGAATTTGGTAAATACCACTTTTGTACCAAATACCAGATACCCGATATCAAATTACTAAATTGAATTTGAAATAGAGTACGAATTCGGTACTAAATTGAATTTGCTCAACCCCATACTATGGAAAACATCCACCCAAAAAAAAAAACTTAGAAGTTCCAAAAGAGCCATATATTCCTTGGACGTATCTACTTAGAAAGTTTGTTACAACAACATTTACTTACTTTAGATAAACATAAATCCAGTGAGTAATCATTTTTTTCCCCTTAGTTTGCCGCCATGTAAAAGTATGGACCATCATTTTTTTTTAAACCCCTTTCTGTGCTGCATTGGAACGATTATTATGTGGAAAAATCTTTTATATTATTCGCTCTACCATTTTTTTGGTATTTGCGATGTAATTTATGTAAGAAATGAAATGATAACGATTAAAAAAAAAGAAAGAAAAAAATAAAAAACGGTGCTTAGAGAATAATGCAGAAGAATCTTCTGACGCTGATTTTGCCTCAAAGGGAACCCAGGCCTATGTAGTGTGTATACATTTCACACACACTGCTAGCCGACTTCTGTGATTGGCAGGTACGATTCCACGAGAGATAGGCAATCTGCAAAACCTGCAGGGGCTCAATCTGGAATGGAATCAAATCATGGGAATGATTCCAAAAGAAATCGGGAATTTGACGATGCTTACTGAGCTCTATTTCGCCAACAACTCCTTGACAGGTAAATACATCTTTAAAGTACCATTTTTTGGTGAAGTAAATCGAAATCAGTTAACTAAACGGTTACATCCATTCAAAAAAAAATTTATTTATAATTGGTTTCTTCAAAGAATTTTACAGCCTAATGATTGATATGCTTCCTTTGAAAATGAATCTGGCACACAGGTACAATACCACCTGAGATGGGTAACCTTTACCAACTCGAGAATCTTCAGTTACCTTATAATGGCCTGAATGGCTCCAATCCCCCCGGACTCTTCAACCTCTCAGCATTGCGGAATATTGAACTTGCATTTAATCATCTATCAGGAAATCTTCCGCCGGATCTAGGACACAGACTGCCCAAGTTATGGGCCATGGGTCTCTAAGTGAATAACCTTGGTGGAGCTATACCAGTGTCCATTACAAATTGTTCTAAATTGGAGATCCTAACTATTGAACATAACCGATTCACTGGCTCCATTCCTGACTCGCTTGGGGACCTTAGGCTCCTGCAAAGGCTGGCTCTGTTTGACAACAATTTAACAAGTGATCCTACATCTATGGAGCTGAGCTTCATCACTTCATTGACAAAATGCAAAAACTTGGTTTTTTTAGCCCTGGGCCCAAATCCGTTAAATGGGCTTCTTCCAGCTTCCGCTGGGAATCTCTCTGCTACTCTACAGAAGTTGTATATAGGAACTAGTGGAATCAAGGGCACCATACCAAGTCAAACTGGCAACTTGACCAATTTGATAGTGCTTGATCTACAGTCGAATCAGTTGACCGGAGGCATCCCAGCAGCATTCAAAGATCTACAAAAGCTGCAAGGTTTGGCTGTGGGAGATAATAATCTTAACGGCACCTTAGATAACCTTTGCAATTTGCATAGCTTGACTTTAATAGATCTGACCACAAACCAGTTTTCCGGGTCCATACCAGAATGCTTTCGCAATATGACCTCTCTTCGGGATCTTACACTAGGAAACAACTTTTTAGTCTCTGCCATACCTAATAGTTTTTGGAACCTCAAAGATCTCTTGCAGTTGAACTTATCCTCAAACTCCCTTAATGGTTCCTTGCCTCTCGAAGTTGGAAAATTGAAAGTTATTACTGTTGGGAAAATCGGGTATTTTCCCACTCAAAATTACAACTAGTGATTAAACCGATTCAATAATTCCCAGGAAAGATCGTCAAACAATTTCCTTAGACAGAATTACCATTCCAAGTAAATTCCCAGGAAAGGCTGGAGGGGTCACAAGCGGTCCCACTTAAAATCCAGTCTCCTAGACAGAACTTACGTGCACGGTGTATTATTACAACTATACCCGTGTATACATAAATAATACGTACACACGAATAAGAAAAATACACCCAAATGAACCGTATAAAACACTACAAATAAACCCGACAAATATAGACAAATATATTGAATACTATACTACAACAGAAAAGAAACTAATAAATAAATGCGGAACAAATAAAAGAGATATGGAAAGAACGCACCCGAAAAATTGATAACGGAGTTCGGCCAATTTTGCCTACTCTCCGAGCACCACTCAAGCAGCCTGCTTTTATAAATTTTGGGAGGAGAAAGACTTACAAAAGAATTACAAAATCCTTTTTGGTGTAATTCTTTTGTTTTCTTTTTCTTTTGGTACCTCTCAATTGGGAAGCTTGAGAGCTTATTTATAACTCTCAAATCCTTCACCAATTCATGAACCTATCGATGTGGGATGAATATTTCTGCCACCAAAATTCACAATTGTGAGCTGTGGAAAAATTGTCAAAGTCCACAATTGTGGCTTTGATTCAACAAATCTCCACCTTGGCATAAATCTAATCCCACCAAAAATACAAACCTTCTCACCCAAACGGTCCTTGCGGTGCTTCCAAATTTGCGCCGTCAGGCGCCAACTCAAATATGCAGGATATTGACCAAGTCTAAACAATGTTCAAACTTGGACCTTGTAACCACCTTGATCAGCATATCTGCAGGATTCTCCGTAGTTCGAATCTTCTGAAGAAAAATCTCCTCTTCTTCGAGAATTTCCCGCACAAAGTGATAACGAACATCAATGTGCTTCGTTCTTGCGTGCAAGACCTGGTTCTTTGCTAAGTGAATAGCACTCTGACTGTCACAAAACACGTCAATGTGTTTTTGACCAACTCCCAAGTCTTCAAGCAATCCTTGAAGCCAAATTGCCTCCTTCAAAGCTTCTGTAATCGCCATGTACTCTGCCTCTGTTGTTGACAAAGCCACCGTTGACTGCAAAGTAAACTTCCAACTAACTGGCGCCTTGGCAAATGTGAACAAGTAGCCAGTTGTAGAACGTCGCTTATCCAAATCACCTGCATAGTCAGAATCACAATATCCAACTACACATTGACCAAGTGTTTTATCCTGCTCAAATACTAATCCAACATCTACGGTATTTTGGATATACCGTAGAATCCATTTCACAGCTAGCCAATGACCCTTGCCCGGATCATGCATAAACCTGCTTACCACACTAACTGCCTGTGAAATGTCGGGTCTCGTACACACCATTGCATACATCAAGCTACCAACTGCATTAGCATACGGGACTTTCGCCATGTATGCTCGCTCTTCATTCGTCTTTGGAGATAATAGGCTACTAAGTTTCAAATGAGGAGCAAGCGCAGTACTTACAGGTTTTGAATCTTCATTCATGCCAAAACGTTGTAGTACCTTCTTCAAATACTGCTTCTGTGTCAGACAAAGCTTGCCGCTCATTCTATCCCTGATTATCTCCATGCCGAGAATCTTCTTGGCTTCTCCCAAATCCTTCATCTCGAACTCTTTACTCAACTGAGCCTTCAATTTGTCAATTTCAACTTGGCTCTTTGATGCTATCAGCATATCATCAACGTACAAGAGTAAATAGATGTAGGAATCATCTCGTAGCTTGCGCAAATACACACAGTGATCATATTTGCTTCTTGTGTACTTCTGACCCATCATGAACTGGTCAAATCGTTTGTACCATTGTCTCGGTGATTGTTTCAATCCGTACAACGATTTGCTCAGTTTACAAACCCAATTTTCTTTACCAGCAACTTTAAATCCATCTGGTTGAGACATATAAATTTCCTCCTTCAAGTCACCGTGAAGGAACGCAGTCTTCACATCAAGTTGAGCTAGCTCCAAATTTAACTGCACTACCAAGGCCAACAAAATTCTAATCGAGGAATGTTTAACAACTGGAGAAAATACCTCATTATAATCAACTCCCTCCTTCTGAGCGTAGCCTTTAGCCACCAATCTTGCCTTGTAGCGAACATCAATCTTGTCAGGAAATCCTTCTTTCTTTGCAAATATCCATTTGCATCCAATTGCCTTCTTGCCCTTCGGTAGTTGTGTCAACTTCCACGTCTTGTTCTTCTGAAGAGATTGCATCTCTTCTTCCATAGCATCTTTCCATCTATCACTTTCTGTACTTCGAATTGCTTCAGAAAATGTGGATGGAACATCATCAATAACTGGAAGTGCATAGGCCACCATGTCAACAAAACGAGCAGGTTTATGAATTTCTCGTCTTGCCCTATTAACGGCAATTGACTCTTGCTGCTGTTGAGGTTCTTGGGTTGAAACCTCTTCCTCATCTGACTCCTCTTCTGCCATAGGAGAGTCACTAATGGTGCTGTTGGTTGGGCTCACCATTATCTGCTCAAACTCCACCTGTTTCGGCGTACACTCCACCTGTTGCGGAGTACCACTGGTTCCATCTTGTGTTACCTTATTCAACATGGCAGATTCATCAAAGGTAACATCCCTGCTGATAATGGTTTTCTTTGCTTCTAGACACCACAACCGGTATCCCTTAACTCCAGCACTAAAGCCCATAAAGAGAGCCTTCTTTGCACGTGGATCTAATTTTAATTCATTTACATGATAATATGCAGTAGAACCAAAAATACGCAAAGAATCATAATCTGTTGCAAGTTTTCCATACAATACCTCTAATGGAGTCTTGCCACCGATTGCAGATGATGGCAAGCGATTGACGAGATGTTGAGCGTATGTCACAGCCTCTGCCCAAAACTTTCTGCCTAACCCAGCATTAGACAGCATGCAACGTACTTTCTCCACTAGTGTCTTGTTCATACGTTCTGACACCCCATTCTGCTGCGGTGTTTTTCTAACTGTGAAGTGCCGAACTATGCCACATTCTTGGCATATCTTCTGGAAGGGATCACTCTTGTATTCTCCACCGTTGTCTGTTCGGAGAATCTTGATCTTTCTTCCCGTCTGGTTTTCAACCTGAGCTTTCCATTTAAGGAAAATATCTAGCACCTCATCCTTGCTCTTCATAGTAAACACCGAAACTCTTCTGGAAAAATCATCAATAAAAGTGACAAAATAATACCTGCCACCAAGGGATGGAGTCTTGGCAGGTCCCCACACATCTGAGTGCACATAATCCAAAATACCCTTGGTATTATGGATACCAGTGCCAAATTTCACTTTTCTTTGTTTTCCCAGAACACAATGCTCACAAAATTCTAATTTGCAAACTTTCGTACCTTTCAATAATCCTTGTTTGGCAAGATTTTGCAAGGATTTTTCACCAGCATGTCCCAATCACATGTGCCACAACTTTGTTGCCTCTGCATCTTTCTTGCTACTGGAAGATGTTGTAGCTGCTGCTGTCCCAACAACTGTACTACCTTGGTAGTAATACAGATTATTCTTCCTCGCACCTTTCAACATCACAAGTGCTCCCGAAGTTACTTTAAGAATTCCATCTCGCATCTTCACTTCCAGGCCTTTTGACTCCAAGAGTCCCAAGGAGATGAGATTCCTCTTCAAATTCGGCACGTACCGAACATCCTTCAGGATTCTGGTGGATCCATCATGATTACGCAGCTTGATTGAACCTATCCCAACTGTTTTACATGGATTGTCATTTCCCATGTACACAACTCCACCATCAAGTTCTTCAAATTCAAAGAACCACTCCCGCATGGGAGTCATATGGTAGGTACAAGCTGAATCCAAAATCCACTCATTTGGATGAGATGTTAAAGGTGATACAGCCAAAGAGAAATCTGATTCCGCATCACTTTTGCATTCTGCAATATTTACGTCTTGCGGAGCTTTCCCTTTTTTCTTCAACTTTGGACAGTCTTTCTTCCAATGCCCTTTCTCACGACAGAAAGCACACTCATCTTTGGCAACTCTGCTTTTCGATTTGGACCTTCCTCTTCTCCCCCTTGATTGGCTTTGTTGACGACCTCTTGTCACTAACGCTTCATCTGCTGCAGCTACTTTCTTTTTCATTTTATCCTACTTTCTCAATTCACGACTATACAAAGCAGAACATATAGCATCTAAAGACACATTTTCCTTCCCATGAAGTAACGTAGTTTCCAAATGTTCAAATTCATCAGGAAGGGATGATAACAACATCAAAGTCAAATCTTCATCTTCAAAATTTACATCTAAATTAAACAGGTCTGCTACTAATTGATTAAATATAGTGATGTGTTCATTCATAGTAGTACCTGGTTGGTAATCGAAACGGAACAATCTTTTCTTCATTAGGAGTTTATTCTGACCACTTTTCTTCAGAAATTTCCCCTCCAATGCCTTCCACAATTTCCATGCAGAAGTCTCGTTCTTGAAAGCATATTTTTGCTCTTTGGATAAACACGATCGAATAGTTCCGCATGCCAACCGATTTATGGTACTCCACTCCTTCTCTTCTATGTCATCTGGTTTCTTTTCTTCAATGGCAATATCAAGACCCTGTTGGAAAAGAGAGTCCATGACTTCGCCTTGCCACATGCCGAAATGGCCAGTACCGTCAAATGTGTCCACCGCCACCTTCAAACTTGACATTGGAATCCTCGACCATGTGGACGAGGAAGCCGATGCCCCAGATATAATTCTTGACGTGGAATTGTCAGATGCCATTACAGACTCAAATGATAGTATTCAATATAACAAATTACAAACAAACCAAAGGACGAACCTTCGGCTCTGATACCACTTGTTGGGAAAATCGGGTATTTTCCCACTCAAAATTACAACTAGTGATTAAACCGATTCAATAATTCCCAGGAAAGATCGTCAAACAATCTCCTTAGACAGAATTACCATTCCAAATAAATTCCCAGGAAAGGCTGGAGGGGTCACAAGCGGTCCCACTTAAAATCCAGTCTCCTAGACAGAACTTACGTGCACGGTGTATTATTACAACTATACCCGTGTATACATAAATAATACGTACACACGAATAAGAAAAATACACCCAAATGAACCGTATAAAACACTACAAATAAACCCGACAAATATAGACAAATATATTGAATACTATACTACAACAGAAAAGAAACTAATAAATAAATGCGGAACAAATAAAAGAGATATGGAAAGAACGCACCCGAAAAATTGATAACGGAGTTCGGCCAATTTTGCCTACTCTCCGAGCACCACTCAAGCAGCCTGCTTTTATAAATTTTGGGAGGAGAAAGACTTACAAAAGAATTACAAAATCCTTTTTGGTGTAATTCTTTTGTTTTCTTTTTCTTTTGGTACCTCTCAATTGGGAAGCTTGAGAGCTTATTTATAACTCTCAAATCCTTCACCAATTCATGAACCTATCGATGTGGGATGAATATTTCTGCCACCAAAATCCACAATTGTGAGCTGTGGAAAAATTGTCAAAGTCCACAATTGTGGCTTTGATTCAACAAATACATCTATTGACGTATCAGCTAATCAATTCTCTGGCGATATTCCCAGCACAACAGGTGGTTTGCAATACCTGTTGATTTTAAATTTATCCCAAAACCAATTTCAGGGATCTATCCCAGAGTCATTTGGCAATATGCTCAGCTTGCAAGGACTTTACTTATCGCATAACAATCTTTCTGGCTTCATACCGAAGTCATTGGAGGCACTTCGGGACCTCAAAGAGCTTGACGTTTCTCATAACCATTTAAGTGGTGAAATTCCTTCTGGTGGTCACTTTAGGAACTTTACTGCTGAATCTTTTCTGTTCAACGATGCATTGTGCGGAGATTCCAGGTTTCACGTGCCATCTTGCCCAAGAACTAATTCAATTCACAGGTCCAGAACAAAAAAGGTGCTTCTATTTGTATTTGTTCCTCTGGGACTCGCTGCTGTAGTTGTCGCAGCCTTAGCAATTGTCTTCAGAAGATATTGGAAGAAATATCAGGATTCCAAAGGAGTAAACATGGTATTAGTGCCAACGCAAGAAGGAGTTTCATACTATGAACTTCTTCGAGCAACTGATGGGTACAGTGAAAGCAATTTGCTTGGCATTGGGAGTTTTGGATCTGTTTACAAGGGGATCCTCAATGATGGAAGGTCTATTGCTGTAAAGGTTTTCAATTTGGAATTGGAAGGAGTAATCAAGAGCTTTGATGTAGAGTGTGAAGTACTGAAGAACCTTCGCCATCGAAATCTTGTGAAGGTCATCAGCGGTTGTTGGAACCAGGATTTTAAGGCCTTGGTGCTTGAACACATGTGCAATGGAAGCCTTGAGAAGCGGCTGTATTCTGACAACTATTTCTTAGATACTCTACAGAGATTGAATATAATGATAGAAGTGGCAAGTGCAGTGCAATATCTCCACGAAGAATATTCGACGCCTGTGATTCACTGTGATTTGAAGCCCAGTAATGTCTTACTTGATGAAGATATGGTCGCCCACGTCTGCGACTTTGGTATTGCAAAAATGCTGGAAAAGGAGGAAAGCTTTGCATGGACCAGGACCTTAGCTACAGTTGGCTACATTGCTCCAGGTAATGATTCTTCACTCTTAATCCTAAATGTTTGTATAGCATTTAGTTTTTTTTTCTTTTTTTTCTTATGTGACACTTGTTCAATTTGAACGTTGGTTGTAGAGTATGGATCTGAGGGGCTGATATCAGCAAAATGCGATGTTTATAGCTATGGAATCATGCTGATGGAAGTTTTTTCAAGAAGAAAGCCTAATGATGAAATGTTTGCTGGAAATTTGAACTTGAAGAGTTGGATAAATGATTCTATGCCTAATTCGATTCTTCAAGTCATTGATGCTAAGTTGTTGAAGCGTGAGGATGAAAATTTCACTGAGAAGTTGGAGGGTTTTGCATCCATCTTGGAATTAGCCTTAAAATGTGTTCGTGAATCTCCAACTGACAGACTCAGTATGAAAGTTGTTCTTGAAACACTGAAGAAGATCAAACTCAAATTCTTGCAAGTAATGTAGGCTGATGAATAGTTCGGATCGAATATGTATCATCTTTTATAATCATCCGAAAAATTAGGGAAAAGAGGCAATTTGTTGATGCCAAATAAATGAAAGCACATGAGCTATGAAAGACGCTGTATTACTGCAAATCAAATTGTATGATTAAAATTTGGAATTTCTGAATGTAGAGAGAAGCAGGGAACCTCTATGTTCAAAAAATAACCTCCTCAATGTCATGACGCTGTAGTTGCTTTCACTGATGATATCCGCTTCAATTCTTTGCCAGTTTCTTAGACACAGGAATCATATAGATCAGTGAAAATCATATCCCTTGCTTATGGCTTAGATTATAAAACAATTCCCAAAAAAGACAATATCTGATTCATTCAACAATTTTGGCAAACTGTAGCCTAGTCCCCGCAATTTCTCATATCTTGAATCACAGCATACTTACTCCATAGATTTTATTCAATTCTAGTTCACAATTGGCTGATTACAGTGCCTTTCCGGTGAAATGAACGTGTGGTCAGGCGAGAGAGGTAGCGAGAGAGAGAAACTCTGCTACCACCATTGTTGAAATTCTTTGTGTGCACTATTGTATAATGGGGAGTGGTTTCATAATTCACCATTGATCAATCTGCTTTTCTAGCCCAATAGTGGAAAAATTATATGCAGTTTATTGCTTAATTGTATTCTAAGCCAGAAATGTTGAGTTTATCTTTGTATCCACATCGCAAACTTTACAAAGAAATCCCTCCTCATAGTAGTTATAAATATAGAAAAAATAAATGAAATTTTTTGAAACAGAAGAAAGGAAAATCTATTTTGTCATTTAGACAAAAAAAAAAATTATTCTTAAGAATTCAACGGGTCCTCCCCCTTCAAATCAGCCAAAGAAAGAAGGGAATCCCGCCAAGTTTTATGCTTTCATGTCTCGAACTTAATTCATTCGACAATTACAGGGATGAACCCAATCCGAAATATGGACCATAAAAGAAAACACCTATTAAACCAGAATTATTTTCTAAGATTATGTACACACTCTTTCTTTTGTACTCTATTTCTATTATAGTAAATCTGATACCCTTTACCCGTGGACGTAGGTCAATTCGGCCAACCACGTAAAATTTTGTATGTTTTTATTTATTTTATTTAGTTATTGTCTTTATTGGATTATCAAGAATCTTATTGTTCGTGTTAGTTGATTTCTTAAGACCAGACCAAACAAGAAAAACAAAGAAACAAAATGTGTTTAACAAAATCACCTGAGCTTATCGAATTAGTCTTACACGAAATTCTTGGCATTATAGTGAACATTTCCTTGGAAAACGACAGTGGAAATGCTTCTTATCCACGATTTCGAACTCATATATAGAGGACACGTTGATAAGGAAGCTTAGATAGCAAAATTGCCTTCAAAATCAAAAACTTCAAAATCAATCAAAACGTACAATATCTCACTGTCCTACAAAAATCTGAGAATTCCACATTGTTTAGTTCTACTGTTCATATAAATACCTGGGCATGGTGTTGTTAAAAATAGATGAATTCAACATTCAATGAGCAACACTTACGACATTAGTAAAAGCACTTTACTCAATTCACTTCGGAACTGGAATACCCTTTGATTGAAAAGACTTTTTTGCCAAAGTGAATGTGAGAACCAAGAGCAAGCATGCTATTTCTCTTTCAAGGGTGCATGATTCATTACACAGAAGCCTCATATGACTGGGGGATCTCCATTGAAGTTGTAACATTTCTCCAAATAATCCTCTAACTCTATACAGTTTTTTCCTAATTTATTAGCGATAAATGCTTCAAAAATTAATTTAGAAGCCACGAAAAATTATCCATTGATTTACATTTGATGGCATTTCATCTAGCTGAAATATTTATTCACAAGTTTCCTGGTAGGTTGGTTATGTCGGCACGCAGAATGAAAAAGCATAATATGTTCTTAGTTTGGAGTTTGGAGAAAGTTCTAGTTAGAAGCAATTATGAATTTAAACTCAGAGAATTTAATCTTGTGAATAAAACAAATGCCTCTGGCACTATGAATTATGTTAATTCTCGATACCCTAATCGCGGTTTCCACTTCATGAATTTTGAACTTAATATGAAAGACAAAAAGAAGTATACTAGCAAATTTTCATGAATTTACGCAATACCTCAAATTGCCTGTAAACTTGTCCAATATACCTTTTTGATTCTTGGGCTTGAATTTTTGATATCTTTAGTTCCCTTGTATTTTCTTTAACTTTTGCTTCTTTCAAACATATGGAGATGCAAGAATGTTTCTTTAATTTAGAACACAACATTTACTCATATGACATAATTAAATGGGGAGTAAAACATAATTTTTCCTAGAAACTTTGGACTTTGGGAGTAAACTTATTGTTAAAACATTAACCTTAGAATAAGTTCCAAGGCTACAAAGAGATTTAAAAAAATGGTGCATTGTTTTTCAATGTTGAAGGGGTAGGTTGGGAGAGAATTGGGGATTCAACATTTTGTTACCGATGTATTGTATTTGAAACATTTAATGTCCAAGATTTGGTAAATATGCAGTTGTGGCTCACCTTTGAATACCACAAATTGTGAAAATTGTTTTCAAAATCCAATTCAACTGGGTTTAGATCGACTCTCAAACTCTCTCTCCGTGTATTGTTTTTTTCCTCATAAGATTTAGATTCTTTCTCATAACAAGGAAAATAAAAAAAAAGAAAACAATTCACTTGGCTGAATCAACTGAGCCAATTGCGAACCAGAATTAAAAGATTTAGATTCCACCTCATAATATTTTAAGTTAATTTTTTTTTTTATACCTCCTATGCTTCTCACACCCTTTCACCTCTGTTTTAAAACTCGGACCGGATCGGCCGGTCGAACCGGGAACCAGCCAGGTAGCCGGTCCGAGTCTTATTAAAAAACCGGAAATTTAAAGTCCGGTCAAAGCCGGTCAAAAACCGGGTTTGACCGAAAAAAATCGATTTTTTCGGTTCAACAGTAATTTTTTTTTAAAAAAAATTCAAACTTTTTAATATTATGTTTTGACCCCCTAAATTGTTAAAACTTATTGATATATCTCAAATATTTGATACTTTATAAATATTGTCCAAAAATTTGATGTTATTTTTTCAATTAAATTCATAATTTTAATTCTAAACTTGTTAATATTTATTAAATAATATAAATTGCTACTTGATTGTTCTAATTTCTTTGTATTTTCTTGTTAAATATATTTGAAACATCAAATATATATGAATATATCTTTATTAATATCAATATATTATTAGATATTATATATATAATATTTTAATTTTTAAATAATTTTTATTTATGACGTCATCCGATTCGACCCCTATCGACCCCCGATCGAACCCATTGACCCCTGACCCCTGACCTCGATTGAGTCACTATCCGGTCCGGTTCTGAAAACATAGCCTTTCACCCCTAAGTGAAATACAAAGAAAAGTAATAAACTAAAAATTTTTGAAGTTAATTTAATTTGGTCGACTGAGTCAGCTGAGACTATTGTAATTTCCTGGAGCCTGACTAGTGACTACTGTTTACAAAAAAAAGTGTGGCCCTTCGTCTGTTGACTTGCAGTCAACTTTCCACACTTGAAGACTAGATAGTTGACTAAACTACAGAGACTCACTCGATCTTCTTCAAGACTTTTACACACGTTAAAACCCTTTGTGAAGCTTCGATGAAATGATTAAGGCTTACAGTAACATACAAAAGTTGCAAATATTTAACGCCACTAAATGTGATAAAACATACATGGTATACAATTACTTTCTTTATGCATTCTTGAGTTTTGCTTCTATCGAACATATATATGGAGGTGCAACAGTTGTCCTTTAAGAACATAACATTACAAATATGAGATGAATGGTAAATTCCAGATTATTTTTCTGATAAACTTTGGCCATAGGACAAGTTAAGTTAATTCTTGAAAAAAGTACCGCTATAGTAATAGGTTGGGCATATATAATTCTTCAACACGTTGAGGTGGCGTTTGGATAGGAGTTTATTTGAAATAATACGTGGGTTTGTTTGGATAGCAAATTATTCCAAATAATATTTCGCATGCATCATAAACACATTTTTCAACCCACCTTTTTATCTCACATAGATTACATCACAAAAAGTGTAACAATAATTATTCCAAATAATATTTCAAATAATACTCTATCCAAACAAAATTATTGTTTCATTTTTTGTGATGTGATATATGTGAGATAAAAGGGTGATTAGAAATATAAAAAAAGGTGTCTGAAAAATGCATTTATGATGTAAACAAAAAAAAAATATGCAAATTAAATCATTGGACAAATTCTACGAGCAAGTAGTAGATAGACTGCTCGAGATAGTAATTTGATGGCTAATTTGAGCAAATGGGGAAAGGAGTTGATTCCAATTCACATAGTCGTCCTCAACAATCCGAAAGGATTAATTGTGCTTGTAATCAATTGAATTTCATTTATAGAAGTAATTGCTACCATTGGGAGCTCTAATGAGTTAACTACCGCGTTTACTTAAATGTCAACGACCTCATCAGTATGAATGTTAATATAGATTCGCATCATGTTGTATGGTAAGTGATATTGCCACAGTTCAGCTATTAATTTCTAAGTAATTTTTGCAAAAATGATGAGATTACTTCTTTCAAGTTCAAATATAATATTGGTCTTGTTTGGCAGACGAGTTTTTGGCCAAGTTTGCCTACTACAAGTTTTTTAAAAACTTCTTAAAATTTTTAAACTATACACTTCAAAATATTCAAAAAAAAAAAACACACATTTCAAAAATTTTTAAAAAAAACTTCTACTGTAAATTACAGTAAAGTTTTAGACAAACACCCAAAAAACTCACTTGCCAAACCCGGCCATTAATTTGAAATTGGACCAAAACAACTCTTTTTTTTTTTTGGCCCAAAAATTGCTGCCTCATAAAATTGGACCAACCTTGTTTGAAAAGTAATTTTTTTCCAAAAAATTTTTATATTTTCTGTTAACATATTTTTCAATCACATTTTTCAGCACATATATATATATATATATATATATATATATCAAATCGCTATAACATATTAGTTTACAAAAACTATAAAAAATAACAATCCAAACGGGTTACGACTTACGAGCCATCTTATGCAAGCTGCCAAACCGAGGTGTACTGTGGCGGACGAGTGGCTGAGATTTTTTTGAGTTCCCTTTGGTGCATTCCAGTGTCAATTCATACCTCATAGTGGAGTTGGATTTAGCCTTTAGGACGTACTCCGGAAATAAAGCAGCCAACTTGAGTCAACCCTCAAGGAAATAAAGCGATGTGGAATTTGATCAGAATTCAATTGAAATGGTTGTTTAATGCAAATTTGGAATAACTTTCAGAAGTAAATGCTAAATATATTCCAAACTGGCGTCTATACTCCTTGTTAGTTTGAATTTGGAAAAAAAAAAAAAAAAAAAAAAAGCATAGATGGAAGTCCATTTTATACTCCAAACTGGCAGCTTTTGAATAAAATGGCCAATCTTTGCATCAACTAACTTCGCATTGACTTGACGATGACAATCTATTTTTCAGGAAATTAGTAACAGAGAATTGAAGTATAAACCACATACTAATGACCGAAATTTACATGATAAAGGTCTAAGTGCCCTGCAATCAAGTGTTCATTTGCTCAAAATCAACCAGCAATCCTTCCACAAACTATCATCATTCCTAACCTTAGAAGCAAAAGTTGGCAAGGTTGAAGAAGCCTCAATTTAGTAGTTTACTAGTTAAGGCAGAGGTCTTGGGAGTTAAGACCCAATTTATTAGCTGTTCCAAATTCGTTATGGAGAGCCTTTTCTACTGCTACCCTCTTGCACTTGTTCTGATGCAATGCTGTTTCATTTTTGTCACTTCCACAGCCATCATGATAAGAACAGATGTTGCAACCGATCGATCTGCTCTTTTAGCCCTCAAAGCCCACATCACTTCAGATCCTCACCAATTCTTGTCAAAGAACTGGTCTTCAAACGCTGCTGCAGCTTCTTCTGTTTGTGACTGGATAGGAGTCGAGTGCGGCTCTCGGCACCTGAGAGTGACTGCTTTGAATATTTCAAGCATGGGACTTGCAGGCACCGTTCCTCCAGAAGTGGGGAACCTCTCTTTTCTTGTTTCTCTTGACATGGGAAGTAACTACTTCCATGGAAATCTGCCCCAGGAGTTGTCACGCTTACGCCGCCTCAAGTTCATCAGTTTAAGCTCCAACAACTTCACTGGGGCCATTCCAATGTGGTTTGGTCACTTTTCAGAACTTCAAGTCTTGGCTTTGTACAACAACGATTTTACTGGCCTAATTCCTTCTTCTATCTCTAACCTGTCAAAACTCGAACATCTGGATTTTGGGCGAAATTCCCTGAGAGGGCAGATTCCTGAACAGATTGGGAACCTGCAGAGCTTGAAGTTTCTGAATCTTGAAAGCAATCAGCTCACTGGTTCCATACCCTTGTCCATCTTCAACATCTCAACCATGGAAAATGTCGGATTCACTTTTAACAACTTATCTGGAACTCTTCCTGTTGATCTTTGCCGCCATCTTCCACATCTCAGAGGGATTCATCTATCTTTCAACCAGATACATGGTCAAATCCCATCAAGTTTATCTCAATGTTCACAACTTGAGATACTGTCACTCACAGGCAACAATTTCAGTGGATCCATACCAAAAGAAATTGGCAACTTGGAGATGCTTGAGGGCTTATACCTCGGAACCAACAATTTACAGGGTACATATTGGTGCTGAACTTGAGCTCTTCTATTAGTTTTATCTTGTACAAACAATGTCAAAACTCCAAGGCATGCGCATGACGGTGTATACATACTTCCAATTTATCATTTTTCACAAACTGTCAGTAGAATATTTCTTTTACATTTCGGTAGTCAGCGTCTTTTTTTTTATCACTTATTTGTGGGCACGCTTTCATATTACAAACAAATCTCTGAAATTGGCAGGGGTCATTCCACGAGAGATTGGCAATCTTAGGAACCTCAAGGAATTTGGCATAGAAAGAAACCAAATCACAGGCTCTATACCCAGAGAAATTGGGAATTTGACCGAGCTTACATTGATTGAATTTGCGCACAACTTCTTAACAGGTACCAGCTTACATTTAATTAGTGATATTTCCAAAATCATGTTCCATGACATCTTAAATCTCTTATTTCCTGGTTCTTTAAGAATTTACACTTGCCACTTTCATTTGCATTATTTGATAGGTGTAATACCAGAAGAGATGTCCAACCTTCACAAACTGGAGGCACTTTATTTAATATTCAATGAGTTAAATGGCTCAATTCCGGTTGGGATCTTCAACCTCTCAACGTTGAGTGTGATTTCATTGGGATTCAATCACCTCACAGGCAATCTTCCTTCGAATATTGGTAACCAATGGCCAAATTTAGAAAAGTTTCATCTTAACGGAAATAACATTGGTGGACTTATCCCAGCTTCTATTGTAAATTGCTCTAAATTAACCATTCTATCCCTTTCATCAAACCGATTTACTGGCTCCATTCCAAACTCAATTGGGAATCTTGAACTCCTGGAATCTCTGTTTCTTTCTGAAAACAATTTGACCAGCGATCCTACATCTTTGGAGCTGGAGTTTCTTACTTCGTTGACAAAGTGCAAGAATTTAAAGACTTTAGAGCTAGCTGAAAATCCACTTAACGGGGTTCTTCCAGCTTCGATTGGAAATCTTTCTACATCCCTACAATATTTCAAAGCAAGAGCTTCTAATATCAAAGGCCCCATTCCAAGAGAAATTGGCAACTTGAGCAGTCTACTCTTGATTTCTCTAGAAGACAATCAGTTAACTGGAGATATTCCAAGAACAGTCCAAGACTTACAAAGCCTTCAGGTGCTGTCTCTCATGAGAAGCGGGCAAATTTGGCATCAAGAAAGAATCTGACTGAAGGCCAGTGTGTGGAACCCTGCTCCATAGTGCCCGGCTGGGAGCAGAAAGTGTTTGCTAAATAAGAAGTTTGTAAGTGAGCGACCTTGCAACTCACTCAGAGGTTAGATTGAAATTAAGGTTATCCGGGATGATTGCTAGTTTGCTACCATCCCTTCTGCGGCGGAGATGATAGTAAGGCGATGGGTCGGGGAGCAGCAGGGAGGAGGAGAAGAGACAGAGAGTATTCATTGGGATGGTTACAGGCTTGCGGCATCCGCATGCATCTATAAAGTACAGATTGGCGAGGGAAACCCTAATGGTAGGAATTTACTTGGAAGGACAAAGATACCAAACATATTACGTTCCAGGACCTACCAGATTGTAGTGATGGTAAAGGTCCTGCTGGATTGTGGTAAAAAAGCGAATTACTTCCTCGACTCATTCGAATTTTGCTGCCAATACGAGAGTTACATTGATGGGCTGAGCACAGGTCCACAGCAACTTCTTTATAAGTTGTCTGGATTGTGAATTATTAGAGATATTTTTACTGTAACACTTTTTATGATGTGATGTATGTGAGATAAAAAGGTAATTGGAAAGATAAAAAGGTGTGTTGGAAATTGTAATGATGATGTAAGCAAATATATTTTGGTAAATAAACTACAATCCAAACAAACCTTTCAAAAGCATATTTGCATCCCAATACTGATAAATATTGAGCCTATGCAAAACTTTTATTTATACCAAAAAAAAAAATGGAAAAGTGAGTTTACCGTGCCAATATATCATTTACATCCTGTTTGAGATTGCAGTGGCTTACCAAAAAAAATAAAAATACTTTTGGTACAAGTGCTTTTAAATTACTAAAAATTGGACTCTTTAAATCATGAAAAATTAGTTATCAAACACTTTAGAAGCACTTTTAGTGCTTAAAAGCATTTTCTTTTTAATAAATGCACAGCAATCCTAAACGAGTCCTTAGAAAAAAATCTATTCGTTATTCTTTAAATTTTTTTTTCACATATATCATACAAGCTTTTACATATTTTCTCATAGAAAATGAGTATTCTTTTCTTCTTTTTTTTCCCTGGTTTTTTGGCTTGAACATCTTATTCTCACTCACTAGTATTCAGTTTTGTATCTTTTTTTTTTAATTTGAAAAAAAATCGATTTAGCTCAAATGGAAAAAATATTCCTTTAAGTAAATAATCTAGTGTGGTAATTGGAAAGTTTCTCTTCTAAAAAGAACTTAATTGGTAAGTTTCTCTCCAAAAAAGAACTTAATGGTGTATTCTGTTTTACCATGACATTACTTCAGTTGATATTCTTGGAGCATGAATTAATTTGGAAAATGTGATAATCCTTTTGTTCTTTAACTAATTCATCATATTGAATAATTTTGATTTTACGAACAGTTTCTTAGGATTCATTACTAAAACATGTCATACGTATTTGAGAACATTAAAACACACTTCCATTCTCTCATAAGTATTTGCATCAAAAGGGATCGAGCTAAGAACCTTAACCCAAGCATGGATTGAGTGGTACGGAGGTCTTGGTATGAAATCCAAGCATACATTCATACACAAATGGCACAAATGGTGCTAACCATTTTTTGTATCTATAACAAACATGCGGTGCTAACTACGGATTGCACCAATGACAAGCATACACAAATGCTGTTGACATAAACAAATGCTGCTAGCAGCTTATTGCATCAATACCAAACGTGTAACCGTATTTTATGGATAACTTTTTTTTATACAGTATCAAAGTATAATTTTTTTTTTTACACTAACAGCTCTTAGATCATATTAATTACATAACATAAATTGAAATTTGAATTTCAAATCATATATATTTGATATACATCCAAATCTGCTAATATAAAAAAATTATTATGCTCTCAGTGCATAAAAAGTTAATTTGTATTTTATATCCAAAAAAATTTTTGAATTCCATCTGCTTATTTTAATATTTAACCTAAAACAACTTTTTATCTCTATTACCAATTTAAGAATAGATTCCTCCATTTTTTTTTTCTTATGTATTTGCATGTGTAGAGAAAGTTCCTCAATCGGCAAATATTGTTTATGCAATTAGCTTGGCACAAAATAGTTTGGACCAGTTTTTCAATGCAAATTTTTCACCTTTTAAAGTTATTAATAAAGTTTCGTTTCCTAATTTCATGAATGAGTGGGGGCAGTGCCCAAGAAATTTTTATGGTATGAGTGACTCCACCCCTTTCAAACTATGGCCTTATTTGGCAAGCAAGTTTTTTGCCAAGTTTGTCTACTACAAATTTTATAACAACAGTAATCTCAACAAATTTCTCAAAATTTTTAAACCATATACTTCAAAATATCCAAAAATTTACACATTTCAAAAAAAATTTCTACACCTTCTTTAGTAAGTTACACAGTAAAGTTTTAGACAAATACCAAAAATAACTCACTTGTCAAACGGGGTCTATGGATATGTAAAGTACTATAATATTTGATAATTAACTAATTATTCAAAACAATGATTCTGATTAATAACTAACTCATTTTGTACCACGCAATTTAAAGAAACTTCAATATCTTTTATTAGTAAAGAGAATTTATGTTGTAGAGATTTCTTTTTCTTCGTTCTTTAGATTGACGTCGATGCTGATGTTGGATGTAACTATTGGGTCTTATTGTTATTTGACCTCTTTTGTTATAATCAAATTACCATTTGACCCCAATGTTTTTAGATATAATATTCTATCCCTTTGATCAAACGGAGTTTGAATGCGGTGAGAAGTTTGCTTGTACTTCCACAAAGATTTACCATAACAAGAGATGAGAGGCTAATTTCTTAGATTATATGTAAAAAAAATATATATATATATCGCACAAATGTATGTCTGACAGAGAGGTTTTCTAATACTAGAACTACCGTGCTGAGTCAGCACGGCAGCAAGAATGAATTTCGCATGGCTCTTTGACACTTGCTAAATTTTTTGTGTCAGCCGCAGCCGTGCTGATTGTGCACGGCTGCCTGACACCACAAATTCAGTAGCCGTCAGGGTGTGTCAGCCGCAGCCGTGCATAGTCAGCATGGCTGCTGCTGCTACACCCTAACGGCTGCAACCCTTGTCGAATGACTTTGGGCGTAAAAAAAAATGGCTTTTAAACGTTATTTTGGTTTTTAAAGTTTAGGGTTTAGGATTTTTGGGTTAGGGTTTTTGCTTTAATATTTTAGAGTTGGGGTTTTAGGCTTTAGGGTTTAAGGCTTTTGCTTTCAAGGCATATGAAATTCGTTTTGCAAGTTTATAGCAAAAAATGACTAATTGTAGTATTTCAAATTAATAACAAAGTCAATGTTAATTTTTATCTAGTTTTATTTGTAAATCAGTAAAACATTATCAAATTATGACAAGGATTTTTCCTTTTTTTTTTGTATATACTTAAGCTAATCAATGTATTTATTTTTAAAAATACTCTGACTTAGGGGCTACTTTAATAGAAAATAAAAAAAATTCTACTAGACTTGCATTTGGGAGTTATTCATGGATTAAGATTTGTCCTTCATAAGTGGGTAGAGTATAATCGTGTTTAGGTTTTAAATTTAATTACTTTAGTTTTGAGTTGGACTTACTCGTATATTTCATTTGGGCTTACATTCATTGTATTAGAATTACGTAAGTAATTTCTGTTTCGATCAGACGCCTCAGTCAAATGTCCAAATTTGTTATGGAACTCGGTTGGATTAAAGAATATGGAGCTCTTTTTTGTTTTTATCTTTCCTTTGTTTTTCTTTTAATGTGTAGTTTTAGATATTTTATGTGTTTTAGGCATTCTTTAAATTTGTAAAAATTTTATTATGTTCTTATGCTTACTAATTTTCATCTAAGTCCATAAATTATATTTATAATTTGTCCCATAACTTTTGCATAATTATGCCAGGGTCTCAACATTTGCAAAAAATGGATATAATTTCTCATTTTTTGAGTCCTGGCCTTTCTTTATGATGTTAATGTGTATTTTGATGAATTAATTCTGACTTTTAAGGTATAATTAGGGGTTTAAGTAAATTTATTAAGTTTAGGATCCGATTTAATTTAAGCCTACTTATGAAATCAGTATGAATACTCTTTTATTTGCAGATTTGTAAATCACTTTGGTAGTCTAATTAGCCTAAATTTCCTTCCGTCATATGGGCTTTGTCAGCCTTTGGCAACCGTATGACAAAGACTGGCAAAAACTGACAAAGCCCTTTTTTTTTTTTTTTTTACCGTCTATCCCCGCCATGCTGACTGGACATAGTTGGGGACAGGGTAATTTAAAAAAAAATTTTGTGGGCCGTTTAGTGTACTGAAATTGTTGCAGAGGTTCTGCGGTCGCTCACAATTGATCCTGCTGCCGTGCTGACTCAGTACGACAGGTATAGATTGAGAAATGGAGAGTGTCAGAGATACATTTGTGCGATATTTTTTTTTTTTACATATATTCTAAGAAATTAGCCGAGATGAGACTTACCTTACTACAAAACAAATAAATTTATGCAAAAAAAAAAGCAACTAAAATGCAAAAGCAAAAACTTATCAATTCTCCCTCATTCTAGGCAAAGTTTTGGATTAAAGAGAAAAGGGAAAAAACGAAGCTTTCATCATAGAAAAACAAGAATAATCGATGTGTACAAAATAGTAAAATTTAACAAAAGCAACTATGAAATGTAAAATGAAAAAAATCAAGATAGAGTACTTCTGAAAAAAGAGCACAGGACAAACACAAAGAAGAAGAAAAGGAGGTGATGTGAGAGAATTGAAAAAAGGATGAAATTTTCTTTTGGTTGATTTGTATTTGTATTGCACACAAACATTAAAAATATACTTGCAACAAATATTTTGTTAGCTAAGGTAAGAGTCGAAAGAATCCACTTATAGTATCTCAAATCGTAAGGGGAAACACCAATTAGGTAACCATGAGATTTTAAATTGACAATTAAGATTTTTCCCTTTTCTCTTCTTTCTTTTATAGTGCGTTTAGGAGGAGAGATTTGACCAGAAAAGAAAAGAAAGTAACAGAGAGAATTAATTTGCCACCGTTTGAGAGATTTTTGATATCAGAAAAGAAATGAAATAGACTGATTTGGCCATATTCATTTTGAGGCTATAGTAGAGATAAGCTTTCTACCCATTTTGGCCTGATTTGGACGGAAAGGGGAAAAGTGGCAACAAATTTTTTTCAAAATGCCAATTATGTCTTTAAATGGTTATTGAACAAATTTTAATGACATATATATCCAAAATCTTTTTATTTCTTTCTTTAAACTCCCAAACAACATCAAAATCTCTTCTTTTCTTTTTTCATCCTTTCTTTTCTTTCATAACTTAAGGTTTCTTTTCTTTTCTTTTCTATCCCAAACTCCCAAACTAGCTATTAAGGTTTAGAGTCTCTTATTAGATAAAAAAAAATACAAGGGGTTGAGTGAAATTTTGACCAAGTCTTAGGGGGGTCCAGATGTAATTCAACTTAATTTTCATAAGCGAAAAATCGGAATTCGGCAGAATCAACTCCCGGGGTGGTTGGCACCGCTACCATTGCTGAACGCGTTTCTTCTTCCAACCCCCATTTTTGACTTCATCTTCATCCCATTTGTTTTCCTCTTTCTTTATATAATAATAGAACTTATCTCCGTTTTTCTCGTGTTTATGTATTTGGACTCCACAGAAAGTCCAAATTCAAGAATTTTGCAGGTTTCTCAATTTCGAGCAAGTTAAAAAAGATTTCCCACTAATCCTTGTTCCAAGAATTTTGGAGTAAAAGCAAGGAACTTTGTAGCCATGAATGCAACAGCAGTCTCTGGTGGTTTTCCCCAAATGATGCAGCCCATTTCCAATCTTGAAACCTTTACCAATAATAACTCTTCCTTGTAAGCTCGAATTTTGATATCTTAATGGGAAAGCTTTTGGATTTCAAGTATTTGATGAGTTTATTTGTGGATCATGTTGGTAAATCTGAGGGTTTGTTTGATTGTTCATGACTTCTTGGCTTTCTTTTGTTTTTGTTTGGTGGGGTGATTGGGGTTGCTTTGAATATTTGAATTTGCGGGATTTGTATGAATTTTTTGGCTGAGAATTTTAGGAGGAAAAAAGAAAAAGGAGCCTTCGATGTTGGTTCTTAAGCTTGAAAATATGTTAATTTAGGAGCTATTAGTTGTTCCAAATTCTTGGAATAAGCTGGCTTGTAAAGCCCATTTACATGCAAAGATTAGATTATCACCTAGTTAGAAATGATTGGATGCACTGACTACTGCGATTCGGAATTACCACTTTAATTAATGATTTTTAAGGTCTGGTTGAGTATACATATTAATCAGTATTTCTCAAAGATAGGCAAATTTTCTTAGTTAATACTGAGTACTAGTTTCATTCCTCATCTTCATCTCTTAATGTACGAAAAGTTAGTTGATTTAGGATTAGAGAAAACAACACATTCTCTGCTCGTCAATTTCGGAGGCAAGTAAATCTATAGATGATTTAAGCCTTGGAAATATATACCATATGGATGAAGCTAACTGTCAAAGTCTATGTGGTTGTAGGGTGTGCTCTCAGAATGGAGTAAGAGCACCTTCATTCAAGGCTTCACATGACGGGAAACAAATTTACTGTCAATCTAATGAAGCATCTGCAACTCAATCTTGTGATCAACCACACAGAAAAGCAATGTCCTGGGAGGCTTGTCTCTTAAAAGTCATAGGCAAACTGTTGGGAAAACGTTTTGCTCTGCTGGGAATATGCATATTCTGGAGGTGCTATCAATTACCAATCACGCACTGCAGAGGAGAAGGTTGGGGTGCTGCTTTTGAATCTTGGAGGACCAGAGACACTGCATGATGTTCAGCCATTTTTGTACAATTTGTTTGCTGATCCAGTATGCTCTCCTTACTCTGTCCTAACGATCTCAACTCAATCAGATGATGCTATCAAGGTTGTTCTAATTGTTTATTGGCTTCATGACAGGATATCATACGTCTCCCGAGGTTATTCAAATTCCTGCAGCGTCCGCTGGCACAGCTTATCTCCATTCTCAGAGCTCCCAAAAGTAAGGAAGGATATGCTGCCATTGGAGGTGGTTCACCCCTGCGTAAGATAACAGATGAGCAGGTACACATATCACCTTAATTGCCTTGCTTGTCATCTCTCATTTTACTGTGTTTCTGCTTTACTAATGTTCTGTAATTTCCTTTCCGTGGAAGGCAAATGCTCTGAAAATGGCATTAGAAGTAAAAAAGTCCCTGCAAATGTCTATGTTGCAATGCGTTATTGGCACCCCTTCACGAGGAAGCTGTTCATCGGGTAACTGTTCCTTCTTGTAACCAGCAGTTTCCATTTTAAGTTACACGTTGAAGATTGTGTGGGGTGCATTTCTATCTGTTTGCAATTAAAAAAAAATAGCATGCTACATTTGGATGTGTCCAAAGTTATCTTCATTTGTATGAATGTAGCCATAGAGTGGCTGTACAATATTCTCTTTTTTGCCTTCCAATTGTCACAGACTGACTGATTTGGGTCACTACATGCCCAAGGCCTCCTACTACTGGATTTTTGTTGACTACTTTCTGGAGATTCTATCTTGGCAACCGTAACCACTTGCTTTGTTTACCAAATATCTTCATCTCTTTACATACTTCTCACTTGTAAGGAAAAAGATTTTCTGACTCGGGGCATTACTTCAGTGATACCGCATGAAGAGACTTAATTTCTTGTAGTTGGTGGCTGTTCTGACCTGGTATCTGATCCTGGATATGGTACAATCTTTTTGACCTTCTAACTTCTATGAGCACACTGCTTTTGGAGTGGCACTTCATTTTTCAACCGTCAAAGAGATCAGCACCTGCTCTAGTTTATGGGGAAGAGATAGTTGATAGTGGCAACCAATTAGGTTTTGCAAATTACTTGACAGATTGTATTCGTGTGACAGATCAAGACTGATGGAATCACAAGGCTTTGTAGTACTTCCACTTTATCCTCAATTTTCTATCTCTACCACTGGCTCAAGCATTCGAGTTCTTCAAAGTATGTTCAGGTAGTGTTACCTTCCAGTCTGGGGAAAAAACATTTATGCCACATGGTAGTGATTTTTTGTAGGGAAGCGAGGATCCCTCTATTTTTTTGATTCCTGGTATATGTTTAACCTGAATCCTTCATCAGGAATGATGCACATTTGTCGAGTCTGCCTGTTGCTGTTATCGAGTCCTGGTATCAACGAGATGGATATGTCAGGTCTATGGCCGACTTGATTGAGAAAGAGTTAGCAAATTTCTCTGAGCCCGAAGAGGTTACTTGTCTTACTTCTTGTGTCAATTTGTTCAGTTTACTTTGACAAACTTATTAGATGATTTTTCTATTCTATTGTTAGGTTATGATATTTTTCAGCGCCCATGGTGTACCAGTTAGTTACATTGAGGATGCTGGTGATCCATATAAAGATCAGATGGAAGAGTGCATCCTGTTGATAATGCAAGAGTTGAAAGCAAGAGGGACTAAAAATAACCATACTTTGGCTTACCAGGTTGGTTGTAGTTTTCTAGTATTATCTATATGCCTGAGATCAACACACCAACAGATGCCCATTAATAAAGTGTTCAACTAACCTATGTTCTCTATAGCATTGATCTCCAATTATGTGCGTCCATAATCCAATCCAAACTCTTCTCTGCATTTGTTGAAGTTGGTCTATGGACAAGATAATTGGCAATATGATCAACTAAACTATATGTCACTTATCTGTCTTGATTTCTGATCTTATCTCTCTCATGCATAGAGTCGAGTCGGACCTGTACAATGGCTGAAACCCTATACTGATGAAGTCCTTGTTGAACTTGGCCAGAAAGGGGTGAGGTCTTTACTGGCTGTCCCTGTCAGGTTTGTCTTCTGGATTATCATATACTTCATTCTGTTGCTTTCATTTTCTCTACAATGAACATGTTTTGATTATCCTGTTGTTGACGATTTCCAGTTTTTGATGCATATTATTACAAGCAGATAATATCCACTTCCAATTGAGAATTTTCCATATACACTTTATGCAACCCAAGACCAGGTTAACAGGGGATCAGAGCGTCCTGCTCCACCCCCCCTCCCTCTGCCAAATCAGGAGCACAGGCACATATATTTATATTTGTATATACCTTTTCCACTTCTGCAATTAATCCGTTCTTACAGTAGTACACTTAGTTTTCAATCTGAAACTATCCAGGTGCCTTCTAATTCTGCTATGTCATCGCTCTAAACCTGGTGGCTTCCTTTTCTTTGTATTAACTCATACACCGCATTTCATCATACCGCTTGATAGATAAAAGGCACATCTGTAGGTTATGTACGTATTTGATGTGATGCCTTTGTCAAATTGGCGATGACCAAGAATGGCACAAAAATGCAACTTAATAGTGCTATTCTTATGCAAGTGCATCCACAGAGAGGATCAAGATAATCAATGCAGGATCTTTAAAGTAGAATTTGAGCATGCTTTCTTGTAGAACTGTGGTTTTGGCACAGTGGTAAAAGGCTGAAATGGTAGTAATTTAGTTTGGCTTTGATGGTTCACATTATCCAGATAGTGACAGAATGGGTGGCCTATATGCTTGTTGATGATTAAAGGTAAATGTTGATGGAGGGGGGATGAGTGCTTGATCAATGTTGTAGATACTTGAAGAGTTGGAATAGTAAAAGCTAATGGTTGTGAAAAACAACTTCTCTGGCTCATTTTTAGCATCTGTTCTCGGACTCTGGAGATACAAAACCATTTAACCTATGTTATGGTACTTTTGTTTGCAACAAAGGAAAGCATTCTGGTCAAGGACCTAAAGATTATCTTACCCTCAGGAGGATTCTAGAAACAATTTCACAGTGGACCAAGTGATACTTTATCATCAGCAAGAATGGGCAGAAAATCCTGGAGTTTAGATAACTAGAAAGAAACATGTTAAAACTAGAATATGAAACCAAATATCTGTTGTAAAGCTCAAACCTTTAAGTATTTCCTACTCCAAACATGGAACATACCTGTTATCTGTTGCATATGATAAATACCATGCACATGCCACCTTTTACCTTCTATTCCTGATGTTCTTTCTTTTTTCTTTTCCAACAGTTCTCAGATATGACATAATTATTATTATTGTTATTATCATCATATCTCAATATGCAAGTACTTCTGAAATTGCAGCTTTGTCAGTGAGCACATTGAGACTCTTGAAGAGATTGATATGGAATATAAGCACCTTGCTCTTGAGTCGGGCATTTCAAATTGGGGTCGCGTTCCTGCTCTGAATTGCACCCCATCTTCATTAATGATCTAGCAGATGCTGTCATTGAGGCACTGCCTTCAGCAATGGCTATGTCAACCTCAGATACTGCATCAGAAGACGAACTTTATGATGACCCAATGAGATACGTTATCAGATTGTTCTTTGGTTCAATCTTAGCATTTTTTTGCTTTTATCTCCGAAAGCCATCCTGGCATTCAGGAATAACATTCTCTGAAGGGAACAAAACTATCAGAGGCAGATGACTTTCTGCTTCTCACACAATGAGTGTATAGTAGGTTGCAGATGTTCTGCTCATAGAGGTGGATAGGTTTTGCAGAAAATTTTGACAAAGTTACTTCTATGCTGGGTAAACTATTAGGCAGCAGAAAGTCCTTTAGATGTTTACTTCATTTCTCTTGCTTGCAAAGACCACAATGCTGTAATGATAAGTTCATCAGTTGTGAATCCAAAAGTTTTGATAGAATCATTCTGATTATAGGTATCATTTTAAGTGAATGTAAAGAGTGGAGAAGGAAATTTTCTTTGGCTTTTCAAAGAATGCTGATCTCTTGTTCTTGTAAAGATTGGATAGCGTGATGGCAATGGTTCCTTGACCAAATCACCTACCTTACCATTTTCTGTACCCGCTCCACCTCTCCCCCATCCCCCCCCCTAACCCCCCCTCCAAAAAAAAAAAGCCCAACAAAATTAAAAAAACTAATATTGGTAATTTTCAAAAACTTTGATTGTTGAGTGTGCTTTTATTTCATATACATACAGAAATTATATTAGGTTACTGAGAAGATGAGCCGATAAAATATTAAGACAGTGAGGAATCTCTCCCACTTCTTGACACACACACTAATTTACCAAAATTTGTAAAATTTCCCTGTAAAAAGCCTTAATATATTTTTCTTTTTATTACAATGATTGCGATTGATTTAAAATTGTAGAACATTCATCTACTAGGCTACTGTCCATTTAATTGAACCCTTAACAAATATGCTTCTAAAGAGATACCTAATAATCAAAATTCTCATTTTAGTCGTACCGAGAATTTAAACTAATCAATTAAATTTTGTAGTTAGGTTAATCGATGGAACTTTTTTTTTTCATTATTATGCATCATCTAAATGTTTCATGCAAATTTGATGACAAATGAATATTACATGGGATTAATTTTAAAGTATGTTTTACCCGCTTGTTGGAAAAAATAATAAAAGTAAATGTTGGACTTAGAAGGAAATAACGGAGAGCAGATAACTAAGCACAGCTTGGTTGGTTAAATGCTTTACCTGTATTCAAATGGTTAATGGGTTTTTTTTTTTTTGTTGTGGAAGGAAATGGTAAATGGGTTCAAGTTATCAAATGAGTCTCTTTGGTGAAAAAATTATAATAATAACGGAGAGGAGCCAAAGGCATGCATTCGCTGAAGTGAGAAAGTTTTAACTAATTTTAATAATTCTAAGGGCAAATTGACAGCGTAATCTCTTTTGAAAATCACTAGATTAGTAAGAAATTTGCTCAAGAAGAACTGAAAAAGTGCTCCAGTGAAAACAACTTCTGAACATCTTCAGTTAAAATCAAGAAATCACGTGCATTCAAGCATGCGAGCATATCTCGCTTTCTTCGGTTGATTTGCCAAATTTTCTTTTGAGTTCTGACCACGAGCCCAATTAAGCACACACATCAGTTCTCAGGTGAAAGGGTTCGTTCCAACCTAATTATGCATGCATTACTCAATCTAAATATTACTCCTCGAGCTCTCAAAAAGTTATTGAGGGATTGATTTATCCGAACACACGTGTGTCCATTTTGGCTTATTGCTTGCAAGACAGTTTCCAAACAGCACTAAATACAGAGGACCATCCAAAAGAGAAACAAATGACATTAAAATCATTGACGACACAAGACTCTTTTAAGTGTAAAAAGATCGATAAAGAAGAGCCGCATGTAACCGAGACCGCATACAGGATTAACCACCCCACCCTGTAACAAACATTACAGAACTCCCATTAGTAGAATTTTGTCATCGCTACGGCCACATAATCCTGTGATGCACAAATCTAAAGTGCAATGCAGGTCCCAGTTCAAAGAAATGCACACATCCAGCCACTTAAAACAGAAAACCGCTAGCAGATAGAGCAAATTATGTAGCCGACTAAGCAATTTGCGATGAACATAAGGATCTAAAGAAAGTTCAACCATACAAAAGACATAAACCAAAACAATTTTACAGTCATACTCGGCAAGTGTAAAGCCATAATTCTAACAAGCATTTAATCCACTAACACTACAAAGACCTACAAAGACCTAGGAAAAATTCACCAACGAACCTAAGACAAATGGAACAAAGACCCTGAATAATAAGGCCAGCCAGCCAGCCATGATCCCCATTACATGCATCATTCCTGAGGCGAGGCTTTTGAGACCACACTTGGCTGCTGGCTAGCCTGAGACGCTGTAGTTGAATCATATGCTCCCCGGGGATTGCCACCTGAACTGCCATCAGAAGAGTATGCTGGTGGTTGCTGGGAGTTGGAGTAACCACCACTATAAGCACTGCTGTACGTTGCCTGCTGCCCGTAGTTAGATTGAGAAGCTGGTGGTCCGCCATAAGGCGGGGCTCCATAGCCTGACTGAGATGCAGGGGCTCCATATCCTGGCTGAGATGCAGGGGCTCCAAAACCAGTCGATGGCGGTCCATAACCAGATTGAGCAGGTGGGTACCCAGGCTGGCCATAACCTCCTTGGGCAGTAGGTGACTGCTGAGTTTGCCCATAAGCTGGTTGACTAGTAGGAGGCTTTTGAGTCTGGGGGGCCCGTAGCTTGAGCCATAACCTGATGGTTGCTGAGTCCCATAACCAGCTTGGGAAGTTGGAGGTACTCCATAACCAGGCTGGGCAGCTCCTTGCGGAGGGTAATTAGGATTAGGACTTGGCTGCTGACCAGCAGCATAACCTTGCTGGCCAGCAGCAGATGACTGCACAGGTGGAGCTTGGCTGGCATCAGCTTGAGTTCCATACGAAGGTGTATGGCCATCAGTTGGTGGGTTTGATACACTACCATATCCAGATGCAGAATGATAACCTTGTTGCTGATCATACCCAGGTACAGCATTTGGCTGGGATTGAGCATATCCAGACTGAGGGACAGTAGACTGGTATCCCCCATAACCATCCTGAGGATAACCTTGCCCTTGACTATAACCTGAAGCTGGAGCCTGATTATAACCATAGGCAGAATTGTCTGTAGGACCACCAGGACCTCCAGGAGCCTGCTGTTGCTGTGGAGGCTGCTGCTGGCTATAGTAATCATAGCCACCTCCCTGAGCATTCTGCTGATTTGATGGAGCAGTTGTCTGGTCCCAGCCAGAGGTATATCCACCAGAGGTAGGTTGGGGGGGATAACCAGGGTAAGGTGGCTGATTCATGTTATACTGAGGAGCAGGGCCAGGGTAAGCTCCAGGCTGAAGGTAACCATAGCCAGTTGTTGCATTGGTGGACCAGGAGGAGCCCAGCTTGCAGGAGGTCGAGCTTGGTAACCTTGCTGAAGATAACCTCCTCCCATAGAAGAATTACGCATACGATTCTGCATGAATTCGATATCTTAAATGAACAATGCGGATCTCACTCAATGCATACAACACAACATGCAACGAAGAGATAAGTGGAAACTGTTACACAGGTACCCATAAAAGTGCAAATAACAGAGTAATCAGTATTCAAGTTGTGTACACCAAAAGTCATATCATATTTTAGCATACTTCCATTAAGCAAAGTTAGACGCCTACATACCGTACTGGGGGGGCTGGCACTATTGAAATACTCCAGCAGAAGCACATCCTCTCCTATTCGAGGCGAATAGGTACAAAAGAAAAGGCAAGGAAAAACTATACAGGCCTCATATACAAGCAATTACCCAGATGATCTTCTCCAATAGGAGCAACAGATGATAAATGAAAGTAGCAACGAGAACTTTAACTTTGATAGTCTAAATGTAAAAGAAAATGATGCATCAAATATTCTATCAACATTCGTCACGCGAATATTATATTACCCTAGAAGGTTATGCAATCATATCTACTTTAAATCACTGAACCAAAAGATTTTCACCAAACTGAGACAAAAACGGCAGAAATGAATGTCCAAAAGAAGATCCAGTTACCAATTACTCTTCATGGGAAGGGGTGAAGAGAAAGGGTAACAGTTAGCAGAGTATAGAAGACAGTCTATTCGAGAAAATAAGGGATAAAGAAAAAAGGTTTCCAGCAAACAAACCAGAATAGAGTAACAAGTTAACCTCTTCTGGCTGAATTTGAGGTTTTACACATCCAGTTATCCCCCCACACAACAAAAATATAAAAGACAATCAATGTTAAATAGGAATACGAAGAAAAAATTCAAATCGCAATAACTTCCGATCATTTCCCTTGATTCAAGCTAAATAAAATCAAGAAAATGCCAAGATGAATTATCCATTTGCCTATGTTTCATTTGCAATCAGACAGAGTTAATGGCAGTCAGCTCCCTTGCATCTAGGCCAAATTGGTCCTTATCTCCACAATATGAGGACATTTGTCAGAAAAGAGGTTCAGAACCATACCAGAAAAATGCTGAGGGAACACCAACACTAAATGGGTCCATGTTGGTGTCACTAAAGTCCATTACCTACTAACCCTACAATTGGCCCCAACAACAAAATCAGTATTAAGATACACAAAAAGAACCAGCATAATCCAAGACAAGAATGTCGGAACCCGAAAGCTATATACTCAAGCATTTCAACTGAGGATGACTGCATAACTTAGTTCAAGATATATCCTTCAATATCACAAGAACTTTATAAAGCCTTAGTTACCTCATGGAAAAGGCTGATCAGATACCTGCCTCACACAAAACCACATATCCAGATATCGAATAGTTCAATATAGGATTAACGCATATATCTCAATAACCAATGAAGCCATCAACACCACCAAACCTGAACTTTGACTTTCTACTTCCAAGATCCCCAGTCTTAATTCCACGACTCATCAAAACTGATCTGTAAACAATAATAAACTGCAAAAGAATATACAGCTTGGAACACCAAATGTGATCCTGCAGAGATATTCCATATGCCAAAATCTGTTCTCTATCTATATTAGAGAGGTGTACTCGTTTCAGAATAGCACACCACTAAGAGCCTATTGTCAAACTGAAACTAAGCATCTAAACAATTCATACTCTGATATATTATCATATTTAAGGAGGGAGAGTTAAATGGTTGGCAATACTAGCACTTGCTTTGGACACATTCGAACCAAGTATGATTCAGAAACAGGAAAGATGTCCAAAAAGTCTGAGAACCTATCACCTCGCAAAACCCACAGCATCAGAAAGCCAGCAATAAGCAAAACAGTCACATCAAAATGTAGTTTCCATGTTGTGAAGTAATTAACATCATAGTAAGGAAGCTACACCCCTAAAAAAAGTCCACTACTTAAAAGCAACACGTAACAAATATAAAAAACAACTAAACCAAAAAGACATTCATATTGCAATAGC